GCGGAGCAGAGCAAATATAGTCGGCTAGGAGTGGGAACCCGGATTGGATGACTTCCCCAGGGTTTCCTTTAGAAACAAAAACACGAGAGACCGGAAAGCACCCTTTAAAGAGGGACTTTTGGAGCAGATTCGGACGAGGTCGCTTAAAACGCTTCGTAGGCCATCTTGGGATCATCGGCCATCTCGATCACTCTGTGCTTTACCAGCCACTTTGTTGATTCTTGGGCTTGGGGTAATCTCTCTGGCCGCTTGCGCCTTTGGAACGCATCTTGAAAAGCCGAGACCCCTACTACTGGAACATGTATTTCAACAAGAAGGGGAAGCCCAAGTTCCAGAAGAAGAAGCAGCTTCGTCTGATCTGATGGGATGGGGCGTGGAGAGCCCCAAGATGGCCTTATGAGATGGCGCTTGCCAAGGCCGCTTTTCTTGCTTTTTGGGCGCCTTGTTCTGCATGTAAATCCCGAAAAAGCCTTTTCTTTTTTTGACCCCTGTGGTTCTTGGCTGCATTTTTGGTTGATCTCGATAAGCCTAGGTTCGAACTACAAAAAAGGGGACCTAGGATGTTACTTGACTGCTACTGTGGAGGATCTTTCTCAGCTTTCACATTTTAGAAATGATCGGTTTGGATTTCTTTTTGGGGCGAGAATGTTGCCAAGAGCTGAGAAGCATTCAGCCGATGTGGAAAGAACGTCAAGGACAAAACGCCGATGTGTTTTGGGTGTCATTCTCACCCTTTTGTTACTCAGGTGTACGACAGGTGTTGGTTGCTAACCGAGAAGAGCACATCCTGGCCACTCCTGACTGGGATTGGACTGAAGGAAACCGAAAGCAGCTTGTCCAATCAAGAGCGCTTGAAAACCCGTTTGGAGCCCAGACTGGCCTTTCTTGCTATTCAGGTAACCCGGGGTTGAGGTTTGATCAGGCTACCCGCAGGTCGTGGTTTGGATTTGTGGCTGTACCTTTCGAAACTACGTATGGAAGGCATGCCCCCAACGTCCAAGTTACCAATTTGCACAAGGACGCCAGTTGCAATGACTGCGCATTGGGAGGTTGCTAGGTTCCGGTTTCTTCATGATCAAGCCCGCAGTATTTGGACCAAAGTTTGGACTCAGCTCACATGTCCAAGTGCGAATTTCATGGTTTCCACATCAGGGGAGGTGGCTTCGGCTGTCTTTGGTTTGTCACGCCAAGATGCTGGGTTTTTGGACGTTGCATGTTTCGAGTTTTTACAGCAACCCCAAGGGTACCGTAACAGATATGCTCTGGCAAATACGTGGGGGGAATTTCCAACAAGAGCCAAGGGGAAATGGATGGACCTACTCATTTGCTTACTTGGACCCAAAACGTGGGAGATTCTAGTCGCGAAACCACCATCCGAGAGGGACCTCTCCTCCGATCTCCAACCCCCGTTGGGTTTTCCGCGGGTTCCCGAAAGGATACGTTTGGATGCAATGTGAAAAGCCAGAAACGACGGATGCCAACTCAATATCGCAAGTAAACCAACCCCCAACCACAAAAGCATGGTACATTACAGGCTTGGAGGGGTCCGAACGTTCCTTACTTGCGACATGGCGAACGGGGCATCCACTGTGCCACTCAAGTACTGACTTCCTGAGTTCATGAACTTTAAACTTTTTGGGAAGACCATTTTAATGGTAAATATAAAGTTTGGACTTTTTTTGGGCCATCCACTCAGCCAGTGAGAGTAGCTGATTTAGAGGATCCAAATCCTTGTCAATCAGGTAGTTTGGGCACGCTGCAAATCAAGATACCTCAGAAAGGCGGATCGGAAAGGCCCCGAGCCCGCCATTTGCGGAACCGATTTCAGCCATGGTGTTTGGATGATTTGGATGTGGGTATGTGTCAAAATAGGGCTTCGGACCGACATAGTGTGTTTTTGTTCCTTTTTGCTCCATTTGAAAGCAACAGAACGAGCCACACCCGTTTGCAGAATCAAAGATGTACCTGGACGTCACTGACATTGGATTGATTGAGGACATGGAAGCTGTGCAATCCAAACGTTATGTCGGGTGATCCTTCGCCGCCCTTTGTTTTTCATAAGAAGAAGGGCCCCAAGTGTTCCACAGTGATTGTTTGGCGGTTCCCCACTAAAATGGAATCAAGCCCCAAAAAGAATACCGTATAGGTGAATTTTGTGACACGCTACTCAGGGTCACCAACCAAAACAAGGACAAAACAACACCCACACAACACCTCAACCGAGTTAATGGCCAAATCTTCAGACTGCCAATCCGATCTCGGCTTTCCTCCGAGGCTTTACATGCTCCCGAAGGCCGGCAGGTCTCGAACCGGAAAGTCGAGGGGTAAAAAGCCGGCCTTGGCCTGGCAAGAAGGGCCTTGTTTGGCCCTCTTGTTTGGCCCTCTTTGGCCCTATTCCTTTTGGTTTCCCTTTAATCAATGCAAGTTTAAAAGGGACTTCAATTGAAAGCTAGCACTCTGAGACAGACAACAAGAGAAGAGTAAGCACGCAAGGAAAATTGCGAGCGAGCGTGGCGGTGGACCAGGTCAGGTACAGACTTTGTGCAGGCGCAGAACCGTTGCAAGGTGAAAGAGATAGATAGCAAGATAGAGAGATAGATAGATAGATAGATAGATAGAGCCGATGAATAGATAGACATGCAGTGCACCTTTTCTAACTTTTGAAATCACCTTCTTTCATAGATAGGGGGGTAAGTAGGCAGGGAGATAGGTAGACATATAGATAGGTAGATAGATAGACAGATGGATAGATTGAGAGAGACACATAGATGGATAGAGTTCTAAGATGGATAGATAGGAAGAAGACAGGCTGATTGACAGATAGATGGATAGATGGATGGATGGATAGGAAGGTAGCTTGATAGATGGATTGATAGCTTGGTAGATGGATATAATCTAGAAAGATATATCGAAACGAGAGGGAGAGATTGATCGATAGACAGGTAGGTAGATAGGTAGGTAGGACAGACACATAGATAGATAGAGAGATTGAGAGATCGTAAGAAAGAAAGGAAAGAAGAAAGAAAGAAAGAAAGCAAGAAAGAAAGCAAGAAAGAAAGAAAGAAAGAAAGGGAGAAACAAAGAAAGAAGAAAGGAGAAAGCGAAGAAAGAAAGAAAGAAAGAAAGGCAGGAAGGAGAGAAGGGAGGAAGGAAGGAAGGAAGGAAGGAAGGAAGGAAGGAAGGAAGGAAGGAAGGAAGGAAGGAAGGAAGGAAGGAAGGAAGGAAGGAAGGAAGGAAGGAAGGAAGGAAGGAAGGAAGGCAGGAAAGAAGCAAGGAAGAAGCAAGGAAGAAAGAAGCGTGGGAGAAAAAGCAGCAATGAAAAGGAACAAGGAAAGAAGGAAGAAGAGACAATAATCAAGACAAAGATAGCTCTAGGCTTTATATCTTCGAAACTCCCGCCCACCGGCTTCGCTGGCTCTATTGGTGCCAGCTAAAAGGGGGGTTGCCACCCAAACAAAGGCACACCAATTCGGCCTTACGGGGCCTTATGTCTTCTTAAGACCCGAGCTGATGGGGGTCCTAAAGCGACCAGGAAACTGAGGCGCACTCTTCAGACTCTCATGGGGGAGCAGCCGGTTCCTATCCGCGATCGAACTTCCGCACTTGGATTTGTATCATTTGTATGTTTCAAGCGGTCTGAGTACAAGGCGGATTTGATCTTTGGTTCACTCGATTCTTCTGTTCCGCCGTCAGCGATGCCGCGAGTTGGGATCAGTTTTTTTGCGCCCTCCGTCGCTTGCGAAGTTACGGAAGCCAGGCACGTATGCTCCGAGCCTTACTCTTGGCGCGCTCGTCTCAAGTGCCAACTGCCAACTGCAGCTTGTTAAAGGGCCCATCTAGACCGTTCAGAGCGCAGCTTCGACTTCGACAAGTCAACAAGACTGCACTCCTTGATGTTTCGAGACTGACGCGGGCTGAGCTCTTTTTTGTTGCAAGTTTGCCCTGCCAAGCGTGTAGTCCGCGTCGGGCCAGATAGTCACCTGCGGTTGTGTTTAGGCATTTGGATCTTGAAACAGCGGGGTTTCAGCACATCCCCCCAAGACAAGAAGTTGACAGGAGATCGGACCATATTTTGCTGCCAGGTTCTCTACATGGTTTTCCCAGTTACTTCTGTCAATTTGGGCAGGACTGGGCATCTTCTCAGCTGACCCGGGTGGTTGTCAACCTTCGTCCGGGAAATCAACAGGTGGTTTAAGCCGAATTGATTTTACAGGCGTGGACGCGAACCCAACCATCCAGAGTAGTCCCCGGATTCATGAACGCGTCCTGTAAATCGGGCGGTTGCCCCTCTCCAAAAGCGGTTTGAATCCTGTACTAAAAAATGGTGTTCTCATTGGGAACTTGCCAGCCGAAAGCGACGTTTGTTCGCCGGACCAGCGAGGCCGTGGACATCCTCTACTCCTTCTACAAAGACCTCTCATACCGCAACCCCACCATACAGTTGGGGAACTCCAGGGGAGCCGAGGGGTATCCATCTCGCATGACCCGAGATCCATTGACCTGGCGTAGCAGAGAAGAGAGAAAGAGAGAGAGAGAGAGAGAAACAGAGAGAGAGAGAGAGCAGAGAGAGAGAGAGAGAGAGAGAGAGAGGGAAGGAGGGAGGGAGGGAGGGAGGGAGGGAGGGAGGGAGGGAGGGAGGGAGAGAGAGAGAGAGAGAGAGATTGCAGGTAGAGAGGCCAAAAAGAGTCCAGTCCGATGGTTTTGCACCAAACTCACTGGGCGCTGCTGACACATTTTTCGGATGATCCAGGCTCTCAGCAACAGCCTCCGGACCTCCCCGGAACCTCTTGAATCCTACCCCAAGTGGCTTTGGGACTAGTTGGGGGAAGACAGAACACGGTTGCAAAATGGATTCGGTTGCTCCTTGGGAGTTTGCAACCCCATTTTCGGGGGTTGCTTTGCAGGGAAATTACCCTCATGGACATCGAGACTTTCTCGCTCTGAACGGGTACTCCGAGACCCTGAAAAGGCCTAGAAAAGGAGCACGATAGCCATAGGACATGCCAACCAAAATTTGCAAGTCAGATCAGGAACCTCTTATGTGGCTGTAATTTACCATGGTTTGGTGGTTCTTGATATGCCAGGGCAGGGGCGTTGCTTATACCAGGAATGTATGTAGCCTTAGGGTTATTGTTTGGCGCACAGACGTTTGAGAATACATCAAGGGTTCCTGTGCACTCTTGAACGCATCCGGACAGTAGCTCGTAGTCTTTGCCGTAAGCTCTCGGCGCCTTATTATATTTTTTTTGTTTTCTTGTGTTGCTTGTGTGAGTTCAATCTCAACTAAAATGACCTGGAGGAGAGATCAAGAGACAAGGATGAGACGACAAATCCATTCAAGGGAACAGATAGGAGAAGACATTGGGGCAAAGCTAGGGATAGATTATTGCCAGAACTACTCACATCATTTGAGACCACCTATATTCAGCAATCAACCTCCAGAAAACATCTACTGAAAGCAAACATTTATTAAGTGACATTGACAATTTGAAATAGACATACTAAGATACTGAAACACACCAATACGAATGAACAATCGTAATGCAATGTGTGACATAGCCCGTTAATGTATGCCCAAAAGAAGGGTGTCTTGAGGTTGTCATTGCTTTGGGATGGCACCTCAAACAATTGCATCGAACACCGGGAATATTGGGGGTTACCCTCCCAAATGGGGATTGGCCTCAAAGCATGGGGTTTATGCAAATGCCCACGTACACGAGATGTTCTCAACAAACACACCATACCGATATGGGTCTCTGTTTTCCGGGTACCCGCTAAACGTTTAGCGGGTTGGTTTGAACAGGAATCAACAGAGAAACCACCATTCAAGTGGGCACGTGTTCGCCGAATTTTCCGTGAGCCAACTCGGGTTGGGCCAAGCTGGGCTGAGGTTAAACATGAACATGAACTTGAACGCCAATTATCCCGACCAGCAGATCAGGACAGCGAGCCCCCAAAAAGTCTATGACTGCACCGTTACTGCATGCCTTTTTGCGCTGTCCTTTCCAGCGGGGCTGCAAAGGAAAATCAGTTTGCCAGCATTCCAAGTGTCGGAAATTCCAAGTGTCGGAAAGATGAACCTTCGGGAACATCCTGAAAGTTTCTAGTGGACAGAAATCCCCCGCGCCGTAAGAAGCGATATTTCTACGGGGTGGATTCGCCCAGGGTGGGATCTAGGGAGGTTCGGGGGAATTCCAGCAGACCGGCACTTGGGACTTGTGGTTTTTATCAACAGGATTTCAAGGCGTTTCTTCCATCCGGAGCGAAGCGGCTTTTGTCCATCCGCAGGATCGTCGGTGAAGGAAGAGTGAGTTGGTAAGTTGCGACCGGCGCGAAGTGGATTTTGTCCATGCACAGCAGCATCGTCGGAAGGGGGGGGCTGTCAGCCGCCAGGGGGGCAAGAGTTCCGTTTTGGCCCCCCGACCCAACCATATGTATGGGTGGTTTCCAGCTGAATTGATTTGGGTCAATATTCAGATTGATATCCTACAAAAGTGCCAAAGGCCTTTTTTGCGTGTTTGTCCATGTGCATGTTTCTTCTCAGTTTTCAATTACGGCTTGTTTTCCAGCTGTTTCGACACCGTGAATGGCCGTCTCCAAACCGAGCCCTACCGACCCAAGCCACTAAATGTCAACCCTGGATTTAAGTATTTGTGACCCAGGATCTTTAAATCGATGGTTGATTAATATCCCTGAGTTCCTGGACTTTAGTCATTTTCTGGGAAGATCATTTTGGTGGTAAACAAGAAGTTTAGACTTTTTGGGCCAATCTACTCGTTCGGAAGTGAGTAGCGGGGTCCTAGCTCCACCGGTTGATTCCTCACAGATCATAATCCATTTCCCGCTTTGTCTCTAAAGGCGAGCTTGGATCTTTATCCTGCTACCAATCTCAGATGCTCCCGGATGCAACCAACATATTGCAAGTAAAGCAAGCACGAACCACGGTTGACTTTCTGTCGGGTTTTCAACTTGTCCGCTTGCGATATTGAGCTGGCATCCGGCGAGTGACTGAAGCCCAAACGGTCGACCCAGACCCGAGGCAAAAGGCTGTTTCGGACGATGTGTTTAACGTGCCTGAAAGGATACTTTTGGGCTTTGAAAATCACTGCCACAGCCGGCACAGAAACCAACACGCACCTGAGGTCCAAGAACAGGTTTGGGGTACGCTTCAAGCAAGCAGAAGAGGGTCCTGCCTCGGTTCGCAGGACCTTTGCCGTGCTGCCGCACGGACTCGGCGCGGAACGGAAGATTGCCGTGTGGTGCTCCCCGGACGAGGAGAAAGAGGCGAATGAGCGCGGCTTTGATTGGGTGAAGCGGCTTTGATGGGGTATACTCCCTTGCTGACAGTGAACCAATCGCAACTACAAAACAATGTCAAGGTGCGATAAAACACTGGCTTTCCTTCTCGCAATTTGTTGGGCGACAATCGTATGTTGTCTCTGCTCAGATTGACTCTGGAATGGATTGGAGTGGCACCGGGCTTGGACGAGTCAGTCAGCCCAGGCTGTGAAACACGGAAGCAAATCCTCCAGTAAACGCTGCTCAAAAGAAAAGGAGGCATATGATCCTTGTGGATCTGTTTGTCCCCATGTTCCTTGGGCTGGATTGGGTGGAAAAAACCGTTTCGACTGGATTTAAACCAACGGGCCCTCCGTTATGAGCCTGCGTGCTGAAATGCTGCCAGGCATTGGACATGGGCGCCGACATCGCCGGGAAGGCTGGGGTGACAGATGCCATCAACAGGTCGAAAGGTTTGAGAAGACCGTTTAACCTTTGGGAGAGCCGAAGCTTCAGGGTGCTGTTGTAATTGATCTAATTTGCTATTTGGGAACCATGGTGTAATTTCGAGTGGCAGGACTCAGAGCATTTTGAGATTCTTCCCTTCGGTGTTGACCCAGGAAAAAGCAGAACCCCTGGAGGAACTACTTTTGTGGGGCTACTGTGGATCCACAGTACTAGTAGCATAGGTTTGATAGCTGCCGCCATTTGCCGCCGACCCCTTTTTGGTTTTGTTTACATGTGGAGATTCCTTGGCACAGGTAGATTTGTGGCGACGCTGCACCGAAGCTTGATATGGTCCCCAACATAACTGTAGTTTGCTGCAGTAGATGGTGATTGTGATTGTGATTGTTGTGATGATGATGATGATGATGATGATGATGATGATGATGATGATGATGATGATGATGATGATGATGATGATGATGATGATGATGATGATGATGATGATGACTGTCATGATGATTGTTATCATAGCACCTCCTGCGTTCCCAACACTACTTCTAGCAGAAGTTTAAGGTCTGTCATGATGAGGATGAGGATCCCAGGAATGATTGTGACCACCCTTCCCGTGCGCCTCGCCCTTGAGACAAGTCGGCAGATTTCCGGGTCGTCAACATCAAGGGACAGCCTGGCCAGAGGTTGGCGTGGATTCCCTCCCTAGAAACCAGCCGCGTATATTCTCGCCAAAATTGCCTTGGTATCTCTATGGGCCGAGTAACAGCGAATTTCTCACTGGGGTTGACAGGCTCAAGGGTCCTTTGGGGCCCCAAACGAAAGGTTCGCCCTGCACATGGGTGCTTCTCAAAATAGGAATTGGTCCTCAAAGCAGCACATCGAATGCGTTGCGAGTTGAAGTCATTGCGGTACCCCTGCAATAGCGCTGGCTTGCCCTTCGCAACCAACAGGGTGACTACAATTTTGAGAAGCTCCCACATTGCTTTTGCTCGCCGTGAACGAAGAAACTGTTTTTGATTTTCAAGCTCCGGCAACATACAGGTGGATTGGGTGCGTAGCCCGGAGTCGCTCCAAACCACTCCGAACGTATTTGGGCAGCGACCCGAAAGCTTTCAGCTGTTGGGTGTGTGTTTCTTGGGGAATTCCTTTTAATGTTCAAGGGACCCAAAGCGGGCACAAGCTAAATCTGGGTAGTCCCCAATTTTGCCAGTTAAGCGCATCTTGAGCATTCTTCTATCACCTTGTTTAGGTAATCTTAGCCAGGAACAGCGGGTTGTTCAACAAAAACACGCAAGCCTCTTGAAAGCACCCCCTGGCCACCTTAAAGGAGAGCTGAAAGGAGGTTGAAACCGCAGGCTCTTCGAGCGAAAATTCAGGGGCTTGAATTTGTGTATCGATTTGCGCGACTCCCGCAGACTCTCTCTGAAGAGCTCACGAAGGAGATCATCAACTTTGACGCGCCCGGCTCAGATTCAGGAGTTCTGCCTTTCGGGGGGGATCAAGCGATTCCGCCTGTGAAGGTCCCGGGATTCCTTTCAGGTTTTGAAATTCGGTTCAGTTTGGTGGAGTTTTCTCAATGGAGCCCCCTGCCCAGAGTTAGCTCAATCTGTACTCTCACCTGTGAAAGTCGTTGCGTTTGGTTTTGGCAGCATGTTTTTCGTGTAATACGCACACGAAACGCATCCGGTAGGGTCGTTGCAACTCCGTGTGCCAGTGGCGTTTGGTTTAGCATGTTTTCAAGAGACAATTGCTGCGTGATATTGAGGTCTTTTTTGTAGAGAAATACATGCTGAACGTGGTCCCCTGAGATGGTTTCATTGATCAAGTTGAGGTCTTTTGGGTAGGCCGAACGCACTGGCACACATGGAAAACACCTTCCCTCGATCGCGGTTTGTGTTGGTGATGTTGAGGCATTTTGGGTGGCCAATCGCATTGGCACACGCCTGAAAAAACACTTACTGGGTCCTTGTGGTTACACGCCCCGCAAGCCATGATCTCGCGCCGCAAGCAGTGTGCCAGTGGGGAAAGCTATTTAGGGTCATGATCATGCTGTCTTTTATGATGTGTGGCATGAAGCCATTTTGAATCAAATCGCATGGGTACACTCGTTTCACTTAGATGTTGCTGACGATGCAAGTGCTACCCCAGCCCCCCACCGTACACAAAGCCAAGTGTCTGGTGTGCCATGGGGGACCGGATGCTTTGAGGAGTGTTTGGTGAAGGGGCGCTGTTGCACGTTGAGGCCCACTCCCGTCACAAAACGCAATGGCACACTGCCTCCGGCCAAGATAATGAAAAGATTCAGTCAACTAACACATGGGAGTCTGGTTCCTTGTGTTGTTCAGCTGTGTGCCAGTAGGATTCGAGGTGATAGAAGTTGCAGGCTTAGATGTTGCTGGCGACGCAAGTGCTACCCCAGCCCCCCACTGTACACAAAGCCAAGTGTCTGGTGTGCCATGGGGAGGCGGATACTTTGAGGAGTGTTTGGCGAAGGTGCGCTGTTGAATGTTGAGGCCCACTCCCATCACAAAACGCAATGGCACACTGCCTCTGGCCAAGATAATGAGAAGGTTCAGTCAACTAACACATGAATCGCATTGGCACACGCAGTCATCCTCAACAAGTGCTTGTAAATACGTATTAGGCTAAGGCCGACAGTCTGCTTAACACATCAATTGGTTTCAACGGCCTGCTTTTCAGGCTGAGGCCTAGGTGGGTTGCGGCTGCACGTTTTCTTTCTTTTCGGACTCGTTTTAGACTCGTTTTTGGACTCGTTTTTTTCCTGGGTAAACTTGCCAAAAACTTAACACAAGGCACCTCCTACTACTGCTGCTACTACTACTACTACCACCACGACTACTACTACTACTACTGCTACTACTACTACTACTACTACTACTACTACTACTACTACTACTACTACTACTACTACTACTACTACTACTACTACTACTACTACTACTACTACTACTACTACTACTACTCCTGCTGCTGCTGCTGCTGCTGCTGCTGCTGCTGCTGTGCTACTACTACTACTACTACTACTACTACTACTACTACTACTACTACTACTACTACTACTACTACTACTACTACTACTACTACTACTACTACTACTACTGTTTAAACACTGCTCGGTTGCGGTTGGTTCTGCGATGTGCCATGGGGGTTGCTTGTATTTGGCGCTTCGAGAAATGTGTTCAAGATGTTTGGTTGCCTTTGGGTATGCATGTGCCATGGGGATCGCCTTCACACTAGCACATGAACTTGTGTTTGAAAGAATTGTTTCAGTGTTGTTGAGCATGCGATGTGCCATGGGGATTGCCTTCTTTTCGGCGAGCAAGCATACATAGTCAAGGAACATTTCGGTCCCAACTGGTATGTGATGTGCCATGCTGGTTGCCTTCTTACTCATACTTAGACATGTGTGCTTCAAATGCGTTTAAGCGCCTTGTAATATGCAATGTGCCACGGGGATTGCGTCCGTAGTGGCGCTCAAGCAAAGCAGTTTCAGGAGACACGTTGCGGTTGGTTATGCAACGTGCCATGGGGGTTGCCTTCATTTTTGTGCTTCGAAAAGGTGTTTTCAAGATGTGTTTGGTTGCTTTTGGGTATGCTTGTGCCATGGGGATTGCCTTCGTACTAGCACACGAACTTGTTTTTGCAAGACTTGTTTCGATGTTGTTGAGCATGCGATGTGCCATGGGGATTGCCTTCTTTTTGGCGTGCAAACACACATAGTCAAGCAACATCTTGGTCCCAACTGGTATGCGATGTGCCATGGGGATTGCCTTCTTACTCGTACTTAAACGTGTATGCTTAAAATGCGTTTTAAGTGCCTTGTAACATGCGATGTGCCATGGGGATTGCGTCCGTAGTGGTACTCAAACAAAGCAGTTTTAGGAGACACTTGGGCGCCGTGTGCCAGTGGGGAAGGCTCAGTTGCAAGGACCCTGCCGGGACTACTCGTTGCGTTGTTTTTACTGGCAGGCTGCGGACTTTCAAGAAAAACACGAAAATGCAAGGACTTTCGCGTTTGGGTGTACCACCCTTTTTGTTTTTGTCCTCCCTTTCCCCGAGCAAAAGCCCGGATGGAGGGGGATCCCTTTTGATATTTGGATTATTTACAGCTGGTGATTTGTGAGTCAGGGTCCCCATTAGTTTTAGTTTTGTTTTTTGTTTTGTTTGTAAAATAATCCACAGCCTTACGCAGAGCCGTGGCGATCAATGCGCGCGGCAATGAGAATCCTGCGACTGGGCTGGGCACGGTTTGAGGCGGCCTTGCTTGGGTGGGTTGGGCCTGCTTGGGTTGCTGGTTGGGCGGGGCCTGACGCCAGTTGCAGACACGTCAGACAGGCCTGGCCAGCAGGAGAGGCTATTTTTGCTGATTTTTGCATTGTTAGCGCATTGGTGACAAAAAATGGGCCCATGGAGCCGACAGACATGGGTGAGGGGCCGGCAAAAAAGGGTGGGGAAGGGGTTGGGGAAGGGGACCACGCCGTCGGATCGTTCCGACGCTGTTTTCGTCTCCCAGCATCAAGTGAGAGGAACTGTGTCCAGAGGGCTGCATGTAAGCCTCAGATTTGGGTCGCCAATCCGTTTCCTTTTTCGGAGCCCAAAGACCGGCCAGTTCGCAGTGAGTCTTATTGCCGGTGTGACCTGACATGACCATGAGATGATTTTAGCTTCGACCAGTGACAGGGACCTATCAGTGCCGCAGCCAGCGACCTAACAACGACCTAAATTATGCACCAAGAGAATTATTTGCGAGGGACACACCTTGCTGTTAAGATGCACGAAGGGCTCAAGACTACGCTGACTGATTCATAAGGGCAGTGGCCACTGGGGCAGTTTACAGTGTTGTGGTCCTCTGTTGAAAACATGTCGGTGCACGTGAAGGAATGATGTTGCTTGTTGCACCATTGGTGCCCATTATTCAGTCAATGAGAACATGTCCGAGTCCTTTTTGGCAAGATTTTGCATTGATTTAGCTTGAAGATGCGGGGTTGTCCACAGAATGGGGACCCTATTGGCTTTGCGTTGTTGTTTACCTCAGGAGTTTGACCCCTTTCGTAGCCGGCCTTCTGTTGAGTCGAGGTTGGCGCATTTTTCACGGATTCGGCCTTTGGCCGACTGACTCCATTGAGTTACTGCATTGTTCCGGGGCAGTTGTTTTTTGGACATCACAGATGTGTGTGTGTGTGTGTGTTTGTCGGGGATTGGCTAAAGTAGCGTGTTTCTGCTTGATTTCCCTCTAAACAACAAAGAAAGGCTACCCCGCAAAAACACGACACGCCCAGAAAGCCCTTTCAGTGCAGACCACAGAATTCAAACACGATACGTTGACTTTCTCGTTGTTTCGCTGAGCTTCTTTGGCGATATCCCATTCGTCAGTTTCGCAATCCCACGCCGGCTTTGTCGACCTTGTTCCATTTGACATCGAGAGACATCTGTGCTTCTGGAGTCTCTTTGATTTCTTTCTCGCCGACGGGAGAAACCCAAATCACCGAAGACACCTGGTGAGTCGTCCAGACATCCAGTTGGTCTTATGGAGACTCACACGTTTTGGATTTGAGGTTTGGTCAGAAGTCGGACCCAAAAAAGGTTGCTAAGACCAGGAGACACTCAACTCTTCCCTAGCGAAGTCATAGCGATGTTGAACCAGTTCGCTTTTCTTGTCGGGTTACAAAGCGACCAGTTCACTTGATCTACGCGTTCGGTTCACCAAAAGTCAGCCAAAGCCGGCTTGTGCAAAAATAAGAGGCCCATTTGGGTGTTCTTCAAAAATACGGCAGCTGGAAAAAGAGTTGTTTCTTTTGGGCTTCCCCTTTAAAACAATCTTGAGAATCCGGGCTTCACGAAGCCTGAGGTCCTGATCACCAAGCCCGCGGGCATGCCTGCGCTGGCCAAGCTCGGGAAACTCCTTGGCCCCAGGCTCCGCCTTGCTATCGGCGATTCGTGCGGTTCAGCCCAAGCTTCCCATTTCGATGGTCATCCCCATGTGAAGGACTTTTTGATCAACCCCAAATGGGTACCCTCCCAACAACAAACATACCCACACCGCCCGGCACCAGCCAATAGGCAGTTTATCAGCTAGTGTCTAGTATTCATAGGGCTTCATCATTCCCAACCAGCGCAAGATTTTGTCCGTCCACAGAAGAAACTGCGAAGGGGTCCCTGGACGACCATTTTCCTTGGGCCTTTGGTGAGGTTTTCCAGATTAGAACGCTGTGATGCGACATGCGGCTTGAATCCCTAGTTGATGTTGGTTGGGGCATGTCCTCTTTTTTTTTTTGGGGGGGGGAAGGGGAACAACCACTTTTGGATAGGATGGGTTCGTCCTTTTCTGGTTTTGGAGGAATAGTGAAGTCGGTTTCAGCCCTCAACTAAACCCAACCATAGGCGTGGTCGCCCTGGGATTCCTTACATTTGGGTAGGGTCCTTTAAAAATCCAAGTGAGGGCAGGGGTACGATGGATTCTCTCAATGGGGGTACGATGGCGGGAGAGGGACGAGTACCTCTGGGAATACCCAGGTAAAGCGACCAGTTGCTGTCCACGTTGCGCACCGGTTGCAGGCCCTGGGCGGTTCAACAGCCTTCGCCGAGCCTTTCCGTGGAGAAAAAGTCGTGCGGTCACAAGAAAAAACAGTCTCCTTGGGCCCGAAGTGGCAAAGGACGCGTCGCCTCCTTGGCCTTCTTGGGTTCCCAAGGACTTCCATCGCTCCCCCGTCAAAAAACGACAAGCACAAAACATGTCAACCTGCTAAAGCAAAGAAATCATTGTTAACTTCCCAAAATGCGAGATTTCGATATGGCATTAAGTTTATAGTATGATTCTTCCAAAACTAAACAACTGGTTCCCTCTTGGTGCGCGTTTCTTGCTTGCCATGTCGTCAGGAAGCTCATGCCCTCGCCCAAGACCGGCACGGTGGCCGGGGGGCCAAACGCCTCCGGCGATTTCGCTGGACCTAAACGTGGCAAATGGGAACATAGAAGGCCAACTGTCTCAAGGGGGCGTCATAGCCCAAAGTCAATTGGAAAGCCTTTTTTTAATCATTATTATTTTGTTTTCGGTGGGGTTCCTTTCTTCTTTGGCCGTTGCTTGCAGAGGCTCAATTTTGAGTCTCACCCCGTTTTGGGCGGAGGAACCGTAAGATCCGTGTGGTTCGGAAGATCTGCCAAGTTAGCATTTGTTTTGTGTTGCTTCCGAAATTCATATCAACATTTATATCCATGTTGCTAGGACCTTAGGTCAGCTTGGGTTTTGGCACTGAATTGGATCGTGTGGCGTTTCGATTGTCGCACTTTTGGAGAACAGGACTCCCTGAAGGCGCTGTGGAGAGGGTACCCTTTTCGGGGTGGTTGTGAAGGGGAACAAAAGGAACACCACAAACTCAGAAGATTTCCTGTGTTGACACACACCCACGTAGCCCGCATATGAGGCTAGTTTTCTACTCATGGGCTTTGATGCAGGTGAGTCGCAAAACCCGGTACGACCGGCATGTACCCATGAAAATTATGAGCCAGACTTGGGTGGTTTGGATGGGAGGGTGCATGCTGTTTGTCCACTACCTTTGAAGCTACTGTGGACGGACACGGTGGTTTCAACCGTGGTTTCATTTCGTGGTGTGTGGTGGTTGCCTGCATCCCCTGAGGTCTGATGTCCGAAGGGTTCCCAATCGAGATTCAGGATAGCATTTGCTGGGAGCAACCCAGATGAATGGGGAATTTGCGTTCAGTTGCCGGAAATCAGCATTCCGATTTCTGAAAGGACAGGAATCCAGATTGCCAGTAGATATCAGAACAACATCAACAGCTCCGTGCCACAAGAGGTTCAGCTCGTGTTTTTTTCCTCTTTTTTTCTGCTTTTCCTAAACATCCACAGCTCAATGCACGATGTTCTTCAGCAGGTTTGGAAGGTGCTAGGCTTCGCCGGCTTAGTCTACCCAACAAAAAGGCAGGCTCATTTCGGGAACGAGAACGAATGGAAGGTCTCCCTCTGATTCTCCGAATCACCGCGATCCAGGAACGCTCCCAGAGCTGAGGACATTAGGATTTTGGAGTCTTGGAGTCTCCCAAGATCTGGCGTCGCGTCTCCAAAATTTTGCCACTTTGGGAGGGCGGGTCCGCCTTGAAGCTTTTGCTGAGGTGACCGAGTTCAAGGCGGCCATCGATCTCTACAAGGGTGGAGGCTGGATGGGAGTCGTGCTTCGATGGGTTCTCAGAATTTCGGGGCCCCATGTATTGGTCGCAACCGACCAAAACCATGGTGTTTCCCCCCAAAAAGACACTCGGAACACACCCCTGCCATCAAAAGATGGGTTCTGTTCCTTGGTAGGGACGATCATGAACCCTACTGGCGGCTGGAGCTGGGCAAGGCACTCTTTCTGCACCGAAAGAAGGTGCAATGGTCTCGAGACGGATTCCTTTATGTGGGCTAAGGATGGTCATCAACCTCCGGGTTCTTCATAAAAAGCACAGCTTCCGTTGGTTTTGATAAACGCCCCCTCTTGGGGTTGGTTGGTCTAAAGGGACACCAACAGGATGCGAACAATGCCCGGGGTACTTTTTTTGGTTGTTTTGCAGGTTTTCGGGACCCATCTTGAGACAAGGCAGTATTTCTTGAACGTCAACCGTCACTGTCCTTTTCGCTGGTGGAAACACACTGGGGGTGGGGTACCACTCTCATGTAAGCATAGAGAATCCCTTTCCCCCAATCATTTTTTTTGGTGGCCTGGACGGGGCAACCAATATTTATTAAGAGGTTAATTGCGGGGTCAGCTGGGCTCCCCAGCCGCAAATATACTCCATTGAAACGGGCCGGAAATGGAGCGAGCTTTTCAATTGGGTCGTAGAAAAACTTTGAGAAAGGGGACCAGTTTTTTCGTTTTTGTTTGGCTTTGGTCAGCAGTTTGAGGGAGGCATGCAAACGCATAGTGCAGGCAGGACGGATATTGTTTAGGTAGCAGGCATGAGAACCCTGAAAAGGACTTGAGATTCTTGCTTGTTCAGTTGGTTGTAGGTCCTGGACTAGTTACCTGCTAATGAGGCTGGGGCTGGTCTGGGCGTGAAATCCGAGAGTTTAGTTGGCCGAATCTAGAAGTAGTATTGGGGACTCGGCGGTTGGAAAATCATACTTATTGATAGGCTGAAATTTCTAATATTGTCCGCCAGGCCAAATCCAATTGCGCAACAATTCCTACATGAAGGCAGGATGTTTCGTCGGGTTTGATCGATCTTCATGGAAACTCAACCCCCACGGCGTTTTTCACCTGCAACCGGTGATTTCCCATTGAAAGTGCACCTGGGATCAAGGCAGGGCCCTGTACAAGAAACTCTCAACCCAATAAAAAGGACTCCCGGACTAAAAGTTGGTGCAGGCAAGCAAGGAGTATTTGGTCTTTCTCAGAAAGGGGACCCGCCCCCCCCGGCAAATGGGTGGTTTCCTTTTGGCTGTTCCCTCAAGCATTGACAGTCGGAATAATTTTGTGCCATTGTCAGATGCTCGACTTTTCCAATGTAAATGAGGTCTCAGGCTCTCCAGAAAACCTTGTTCCAGGTAACCCCCCCCCTCCCCGAGTGCCAACTCGTTTAATTCCCCAGATAGCTGAAGAGCGATAGGGGTTCTAACTTCTAATGAAGCGGGGAAAGTGATCTTGCGAGATTGACGGCCGGGTGCTAGAGGGCGTGCAGTTGGGGTGCTGGCGCAGGGGTGTGCTGTTCGGGGAGCTGTTTGGGGTGCTTGTGACGGTGCGAGCACATTTGGCAAGATTGATGGCAGGGTGAGCGCGCGCAGTTTCGGCGTGCTGTTTGGAGTGTTGTTTGAGGTGCTGGTGACGGTGCGGGCGCATTTTTATGAGATTGGTGGCAGTGCTGTTCGGGGCGACGGCGCGGGCATTTTGCAAGATTAACAGCAGGGTGCTAGGGGGCATGGTGCTGGTGAAGGTGCTGTTTTGGGGTGCTGGCGTTTTGCTATCTGGGGTCTATGCTGGCGAAATTTGTTTTGACACCCCTGATTCGGAAATTTGCTGTCTCAAAATGGGCCCCTCAAAACTGGATTCAAAGGTTTCAGGTATCCTCAGCAAGAAAGACACATCCATTTAGGCCCAGCGTTTTGCCACAATTCATTGTCCGAAGGCCCGGAACTTGCATGCCGCCCAATCGCCGAGGAATTTCTCGCAAGGAAGAGATTGCGAAAAATGAGTGACCCTCTGCTAGCGTGAAAGCTGCGGTCGCGACGCCTGACGGACGGGTATTGTATTTTCTAAACGTCTGCCAACCGGCTTCGCCGGCTCTACTGCCAATCTGGTTTGCTTGTGTTTTCCCTTAACCTGGGGTTGTTTGCAAGGGAAGCCAAGAGGAAAACGTTGCCCCTGTTTTTGGGCAAGCCCTGAGTCATCTAATTGTCCATTGGTTGCCCTGTTTTCAGGTCTCCTCCACGCATGTGTTGCATTTCAGCGTTGATGAAGCACATTGCGAGGCCCTGCGCCGTTTTCTGGGAGAAAAACATTACCTCAGACAGCGTGTCAAAATAGGCGGACCTTAGCGGGCGATGTTTTCCTCACTCCCTGAGTTCTTGATCTTTGAAACGGACAGTTGGACTTTTGGCCCATCCATCCTGAGTGCTTGGGAAGACGAGGTGAAGACAGTGGTGGGGAGGCTCGAAATGGGCAAAGAGAAGCGCGGGCCTCGGGCTGTTCCAGTGGTGGGTGTTGTGGGTCGTGGCTCGTTTTTTTGAGGCTGGTATCCTTTAAGGGAAACCAAAAGGACAGCCCAGGACAGCCCCTCAAAACAAGGCCCAAATCCAATATTTTTCTGTCAAATGACACCTACACAATTGAGCCGGCGGGAATTCCATGCTGAGTTGTCTGTCTTTTTTAAGAACCCCCCCCAAAAAAAAAATGCATTGAAACCACCAAACAAGGGATCCCTCAACAAAAAGACACCCATGATCGTGTTCGGCAAGGGCAGCCCGTGGCGCAACTTTCAAAGTTTGCAAAGGGAAGGTCCTCCAAATCAGCTGGCTGACACAAAATCATGGTCTGTTGTGGGGCATGCCGCATGCCTAGGAATCGAAGGTCAATGTGAGGGTACAAATGGTACAAGCTCTCAATTCGTTTCGATAATACAGAAGATGTAATAATTACAGTCCCTCCGTTTTGTCTGGTTTTCTTGAAATGTTCGTTGGTGTCCAATCCAGTGGACATCCGCACGACAGCATTTTGCGGGTCCATTGTTCCTTTGGGGAGGACAAGGGTGGCCCCCCAAACTACCACAAGAGGGTCCACCGAATTTTCACTTGTGTTTTTAAAGCTCACATCTTCAGCGCCTCGGGGAAGACTGGTTCTTCGGACCTGAAGGTTCAGTGAGTCTTGCAAAGCTGGAATCACAGATGCAGCGTGAAAAGCAATGCCCTAACTTGATTGCCATTGGGTTGAATCTTTAGACTTGAACTTGGGAAATCAAGGATTTCCATTCGGGGGTCAACAGCAACCAAGCTAAACATTGCGAGTATGGGAACAAGGACACCCTCTACTTGAACGAATTGACCATGGTTTTGTGGTTGAGTATGCTTTTGCAATATTGAGTTGGCATCCACCGTAGCTTAAGCAAACGGGTCCTGAAAAGGGGGGGCCGCTGCTAAAATCAGAAAGGGGCGCCACACTAGAGTCTGTCATCAAGCGACGAACGCGCTAGTCAAGCACCCCTCAAGCACACTGAAAAACCTGGGAATTCTGGGCATCCCCAAAGTTTGCCTCAGCAGGGCCTGGCTTTTTGCCCTGGGTCCTTTGCACGTTTGGATCTCCATATTGAAGCAAACCAGCCATCCGAAGAGCCACATAAAGCTTCTCAAAAGTCGAATCAGTGTCCGAATGCGTAAAGGCCATCACCGAACCGTGAACCTGGGAGTCTCATCGAAAAGCCCCTTCCTTCGAGACGAGGATCACTGAGAACATCCGATCGCTGCTGCAGCAGATGGCGGACAAAGCCCCAGAGGGCGCCAAGAAGATCAAGGCGCGCGGACTCGGAGCTGGATTTGGCTGAGGGTTCCCAGCCATGCGGTGAGCTTTCTAAGTTGGCTTGGTTGGTTTTTCCATTCAACTTACAAGCTCCTCACTTTTGGCAGGTCTGAAAACGGACAGCCCAGTTGGTTCTCCAAGCTACCAGTTCTGGTTGTGGACACTGTCGTTCTTCCACGCTGATGGGCTCAAACTTGTGGGTCTTTCAGTTGGCGGGACATAACATTTTCCTTGGACCCCTCAAATGGACATTCTAAACGTGGCGGGTAGACGACTGATGATTGTTGAGGTTGCTTGAGCCGGAAGCTAACGCTAACCTTTTTTGGTTTTTGTGGGGAGCGACTCCTTGTTTCGACACATAAAATTTGTAGAGCTGCTATAGATTTCGAGCTCGTCGATATGGGTAACGAGCTTGTGAATCCCTGATTTCAGTTCTTGGTTCTTTGTTTTTTCGGGCTGCAGCCGAAGTGCTCGTTTGGGGTGGGGGGGTGGGGGGTGGGGGTGGGGTTGTCAATCTCGTGGCCCTGGAAAATTCCGAAGCCGAGGGGATGCCACTATTTCTCTTGAAATTCAAACATCACCAATTCGGGTTGCCGTTTCAAGTTCTGTTCCTTGGGGTGATGTTTAACAGGTCACTTGACTTCTAGGCCACTCAGGAGGGAAGCGGATATGTTTTGCCTTGCAACCACCTTTTGGCTTCAACTTTGTGCAGTCCACCGTTGGTCTTTTTGGGAGCCGAACTGAAGCCCGCACGAAGAACACGGCTGCCCCATGTTCTCTCGCCCCCGGCGCCAAAACCCAGGCAGATTTCCGAAAGTTCCTTTCGAGCCGGCGGATTTGGGGGTGAGCGCGAGAGGTTTCCGTGTTGTTTTCTCCCCTAGGGTAGTTTTTTTTTCTGGTTTCCAGACCCCCTAAGGCCCAGGCCCAAACCCAGGCGGTTCGGAGAAAGCTTGAAGCTCGTCCGAGTTCTCTCCGAATGATTACCTCAGGAATGAAGGTTCGGGCCGGACAGAAAAGTAGCCCGGGTATGTGATCCGGACATCCAGTACAACCAGTTTGTTTTCTCCTTCGGCGATAATTGCGGATCAGCGATTCCCACATGTGAACAGCTCAGCCTTAGTCAGCTGCCCAATTCGGGACTTCGCCCCAATAGGGTTACAGCCCATCCAGCTATTCCCAGATCTGACCACATTTTTCTCGTGCCAGAGTCTAAGGACGCCCTGGCTTGCTAGTCAGCAGGAAATGAGTTGGAATGTCCCCTATCCATCTCCTGTGGTTTCCTTTATTCGGGAATTCTCAAGCCCTGGGCTAGTCCCCACTAAGCACCGGCTTGAGTGGATCCCACTCCGGTGCCCAGGCGGTGGAATTTGGGTGGGCCATCCATTTTTGGAACTCCGTGGAAAAACAGGTGCGTTTCCCGACAGATTATGCGCAGTCTGTACATCAAGATGCTCTTGATACTTGCGGTTGGGCATTTAGCGCCATATGTTGCATGTACTCCAAATTGGCGCTGGCACCACAAGCGTGAGGTGCTGAATGGATCTCCAGTGCGGCTTTGGCGAAGTTCCTGTCCCCTGAAAATTCAAGACACCGCCGAATGGAAGACTCAAATGGGATCGGTGTGGTAGCTATATGACTCATATATGGCGAGTGAGCCACCCGTGTTTTTGTAGAATTCTTGAGGGACTGGTTGTCCTTTTCCATGTTTGCTTGGTGCATTGTGGGGGGGCATGGGGCCCTTTGCCCAGTTTCGCCGTGATACCAGGAACCCCGTTTAAAGTGCCAAAAAGGTCGTGGTTACCTAAGAAACCCTGGAATCCCATGCAAATGCCAACAGACGCCGTGGTTTCAACCATGGTTTCATTTCGTGGCGTGGATGTCGCAACCATCAACATGAGACAGGTTTTTTTTTTGGGGGGGGCCTTAGGTCCGGTGATTCCGCCAGGATTTCTGGAGGGTCATGTACATCAAGGGCCACGACAGCCCCGCCGTGCGGCCCTGGGCCTCAGAGAAAGTTGCGATTCGGTTTGGCTTCCGACTCTTTCCGAGTTGGCGACACAGCAAAAAAAAGCCCAGCGAGGCGTGAGGGTTTTTGGGGGTTGAAATGTTGAGGTCTCACTCCCCGAGTTCCGTTTCGGAATTTAGAATTATCATGTTAGTGGCACACAAAACGTTTTTTCGAGCCATCCATTCAAGAAGTGAGTGGTGGTGAAAGACTGGAAGAACAGCCTGGCAGTTGCTCTGAGTTCCTCGGGACAAAAGGGAGGTTTCAACCATTCGTGTCTTTGAATCGGTGTCCTCGACGCGGGAACAGGCTTGCGAAAACCAACAGCGAGCAGCAGTTTGGGAATGTCTTTCTTTGGGGAACCCCTCTTGTTCGCTTTGAAAAAGGAAAACAAAAAGGAAACCAGAAGCAAACCAAAGAACACCAACCTGTTTGGAGGTCCTCTATTTTTGAGACAAACCCATCTTCGCTCGGGTATCTCTGGAGACGTGCACAGTCTAGAGACTGTGTGTGTGTTTTTTTCAAGGGGCAGAAGCACGAGGCTGTCGCTAATTCAGGGGGGCTCTCCTGTTTGCTGTAGTTTTCTCGCAAGCCATGGGACCCATGGTCACTCCATTGGGATGAGCTGGAGTAAGCAGAACCTGGCATTTTACTTGGGGCTCTACCCATATGCCGAACGCAGCCATTTGGAAGGTTGGGGCTCTCTCCCTGTTCAAGACCCGGTTGGTTTCTTTTTCTGCTGGCCCCGTTTTTGAGGCATTTGGAGACTGCATCCCCTTCCCCCCTTTTTTTGGCAACTCATATCAGGGCTCCTTAAAAGATACATTTTGCCCATTTGAAACATGGCTTTTTCCACCAAAATACAGGGAAACCACCATTTACAAGGCAATGTTCAGGCCTGAAATGTAAGGATCCCTGCATAACAATCCCCCGAACCTGAGGGTCCAAAGGCCGTACCCCAAATCGACATATCCCACCGATAGGCCTTAGGGATGGATTTTGGGGTAGGGAACATCAAAAATGGGCGTCTCATGGGTTGCCCCCGAAAGCTTGGCTCTGAGCAACAAATCCAATACTCACAAACAACACCAATCTTCCCTCCAGGATTGATCCATCGGAGTGGCCGTCCCATGGCGCGGTCTCCCGGGCTTTCCTGGTTCGAAGGGAAGGCACGCCCAGATGGGTCCCTAAAAAAAGCTAGAAGCAACTCCCACCTTTTTCTAGGGCTCCTATGTTGACAGATCCCCATATGTTTCTCGGTGGATCCTCGCTTAAGGGGACCCCAAATGGTTTTCTTTTTGAAACCCAACCAAAAGGTATGTTTCTCAAGTTTGTCCCGCAAAATCCTTGGTGTTTGTTTTGGCTTATTTTTGAACACCAACAAAAAGGGTCCACAATTTTGAGGAACACCCAAACATTTGGAGACAGACTGGTTGTTCTTGGAAGGTTGGCTTTAATTTGAACCCGTAGTCTTGAAAGATAGCAATGGACAGTATCATTGGTCTACTGTTGCTTTGAGGACAAGAACGGGGGCACCAAACTGCCACGGGGATGAATATTGCCTGCATTTCCTGTATGTTTGGGTCTAAATCATCCCTCTGCGGGTGATTCAAGCAAACAACATGTGAGTGTTTGTTTAAGATATTGGGCTGCTTAGAGCAACAGGGCCATGCATTTTGAAGGCCTATGTGGAGAGAAAACCAGGCAAGCAAAGCAATTCAGGTCAGAACGATTTCCCTGTCAAGGCTTGATGGGAAGAAGCACGCAGATGAATCTGGTCTTGGGCCGTTTTTGCGAGACCGCTTGGGGTTGGTATCGTATTTTTTTGGGAGAATCGTGAGGGTTCCATTGAGGAAAGCACAGCTTGACACCTCCCGAACCAATGCTCCGGGCTTGGGGAAAGCCGTAAAGTATCCAACACACACACACATACTGTACACTCCTTGTCAACTGCAAACTGCAGCTTCACAAGCTTGTTCATATAGCCTGGAGTACACCCACCAGGAGCAACAGTGTAGGTGCCAAACTGCAGCCAGAAATTCGTTTATTGCCCCCTTTAGGGGGAATAAAGAGGGGATGGATCAGATCCGTTTCTTGGGTTTTCCAGACCTCTCATGTACACTCCGCCTTTCGACTACCAACGGGGAGATCAACCAAACTAGATTTGGTTTTACTGGGTTTATATCCTAGTCAAACCACTCAGCTTCGCCGCACCGTCCTGAAATCAGGTAAGCCCCAATTCGTGGTTTGGATTGGTGTCGGATTTGGTCGCGACCTGAGGCTTTACGAAAACGACGCAGAAGAATATCGAAGGCGCGGAGCCTAACCCAATTCTGCGAGCTGGATGTCGTTTTTTGTTTGTTTCTTCTTTGCTTCCGACTCTTGGCAGTTTTTTTATTCTTAGGGGTTTGTGCTTGGGAGGGTACCATGTTGGGGTTTGTTTAACGGGAAAACAAAAGAACCGGAATCCATTTGCGTGCCCTGTTTTAACACGCAATATGGCAATGCAGTTCAACGGGGAACCACCTTACAAGTGGTTGACGGACATGCATCCCCACCTAAATAAGGTGCACCAAGGAGCCCCCTATTCAGATTCACTTCCAAAATTCAGAGATCACGGTGACAACAAAAATGGGAATGACAAAGGCTGCTCGGGTAACCGAAGCATACCTATTGTTCCTGGACCTGCAAACAGGGCTTCCTCTTTTGGCCTTGAAGCTTCCTTTTACCACAGGAAGCTCACCAAGGCGATACTCGGCCTAATGGTTAAGTCGACCACTTTGCTTTCATGTTGGGGACCGGTTCGGAGCACGTGGGAAGCTTCCGTCTTGAGGTTTTCGCCTTAAGCCGGTTTCATCTGTTTAAATCAGCTCATGACCTTTCGGAGCCGAAAGGCTGTTCCGATTCGAAGGTCGGATATTGGATGATCCCATACCGAATTCTCACTCCAAAGTGGATCGACCGGATCTGACCTTTTTGGATTTCCATGTGTCATGGTTGAAAAAAAAACGGCGTCACCCTGGGTCCGAAGTGGGCAACTGAGCAAGGCATGTTCCCCTTTGTGGTTGGGCTCGATTTTTATCGTGAGCCTTCAAAGGAGGTTCAAGAAGGGGGGTGTACTTTTCTCCTGTGAAAAGGCACATCACAATTCACAAAGCTCCGAGCGGACATCACTTGCCATGGTGGATGCATTTATCCCACGCGTGACCCGTTCTGTCAAAGGAAAGCTTAGGGGCCCTTAATTTGCAAGGGTGTCACAAGATACCCTCTTCCAGGCTAGCATGGAAGACCGTTCGGGAATTTCCTTCCAATGTTAGTCTGAGTCAGGCTACACTTCACGCAAAGCAGCCGGCTTTCCATCATTCGCCAAGACGCAGACTTCCGCGGCTTACGGGTTCTCAGTACGGAATCAAGAGGTTTTGAGAATGCGCCCCTTAAAGGACAGCACCAGTTGGATGCAGTTCAGGGTCATTCCAACTCATTCCCCACCGAGAGCGCCACCAAATGCTGGTTTTCCAGTTGGCTCCCTTCAATCCAACCCAACATGTGCTGAACAAGTCACCTTTGAACATCGACCCACGCCAAATCGACGCGTCGACCTCCACCAAAAAACGAGCTGGGCCGGCCCTTCGCGTAGGTCCTCTCGCGGTGGCCATGGGCCTGGCCTGAGAATTAGCCCACGCCCGCGCCACAAAAAAAAAGAAGCACGTGCGACAGGGAAGGAACCGGGCGGCCGGGCGGGGAACCGGGGTGCCAGTTGCTTTTTGCTTTCTTGGTGCGATAGGGAAGGACGAGTCCGGGTGTTGAGGTTGAACTGGTTTGGGGGAGTCAGTGAAGGAAACCATGGGGGATGGGGGATGGAGTCATTGCCTCATTCCCAGCAAGTTGTGCCTTTGGGATTTTATCGGCTTGCTGCAATTTACCCACACCTGGGCTTGAGATACTTGTTGGAAAGACTAGCTCAGTGCAATTGGAAATATGGCCATGTCCAACCATCCCCTTAGGTTTCAGGTTTTAGGGTTCGGCGGTATTTCCATTTAGCCCAGTAAGAGTTTAAGCTTTTGGCAGGGGATACATCATTTCGATGGAATCAATCTTGAATCCATCCGAAAGGCTGAAGTGTCGCACAGTGCGCCTTTCCGGGATTTGCTCACACGCAGAAGCAAAGCAGAGTTGGTCTGGGCATGCTGAATGTGAAGGCACTTGCTACTGCTGGCCCTAGTGGCTACAATTCAAGGGAGTCTCAGAATGACTTGTTGGACCCGGTGGTCTCCTGTTGAAGCACCAGAAAGAGGTTGTGTATGTTTTCGACGTCACTTTAATGGCGCCGAAGATCGCTTGTCCCATTTTAAGGGGAGCTCAACTTGAGGTAAAACGATCTGACCATCATAAACGGTGGTCAAAAGAGAACAAACAAACGACAGCACACAACTCAGGTTCTGGAATACATCATTGAAACACTCGAAGGTAAGATCAATCATTTTTGTATCTTCTTGCTTTTCTTTGTACACGACCAAGCCACACAGAACAAGTCAAGGTTTTTACCAAGACAAACAACGACATAATCATCAGTGCGATGTGTTCTTGTCCGTGCTTAGTCAAGGTTGATCGCTTTTGCAGATCGTTTTAATTTCAGCTCCCCACTAAGTTCAAATCCCCAAACCTCCAAACCAAACCATCAATTTGGGGTCACCTGATGATTGCTTGGTTTCCACTCCACTGTTGGTTCGAGCAAGGTTGCTTAAAAGCCTCAGTAGTTTTGCTTGAAAAAGGAGACAACGGGGCAAAGGGCCGGTTTTGCCCAGCCCTGCTTCTGAGTCGGGGTTTGCGGAGCCAGGGCTCCATCCGTGCGCTTTGGCCCAAGCACAGTGTTTTTCCTCCGGTCTTCACACGCCAGCCGCGCCCCAAATCCGTGCGAATTTAACCTGCAACTTACCCCCCCTAAAGCTTGTCCTCGAGAGAAAACAGGAACATACCCACCACCCGCCGACCACTCCAGCCTACGGGCCAAATAGGAGTTCGCGAGCAGACTTTTCTCGCGTGACCGAGCGCGTCGCCGGCGGAAAGCAGAGACTTTTGCCGCGCCATGATCCAGTTCCAGCATCAGAATACCGGCGGGGGGCCTCGGAACTTGTCATTTTGTTTCGCCCACTTCAAGAGTCAAAGGGGGTGATTGGGCGAGTCATAGTGCAGGTGCCTATCTGAGGTTCCTCCTTGTGTCAGATTCTGAAAATCTTGTGGATATAGCACCTCTTCTCCCTAACTTGTCATGTTGGGGAATCGCTTTCCGTGGGAGGTTGTCCAGGTGAGTCTTTGATACCCGAGCTCCTTTAGGGATCCTTCATGGGTTGGTGACCCAAAAGCCATAGAACATGGCCTGACTTCTGATGACTCAGGTGGATTCTGCCGTTGTCCTTTTGTTGTTTCGGACACCAAGTTCAAGTGGTGCTTGCTCAGATATATATATATATATATGTATACATATGTATATATATATATAGTCCCGTGTTCCGTGTTGCTACCCCCCCCCTATGGGTCCCCCAGGACCCCCCCCCCCCGCCCCCCTGGCCCGAAACCCCGAGCCCCGGATCCTTTCACCTACGGTCCCACCCCTACCCCGAACCCCTGAACTCGCACCCCGACACCCCGGCACCCCCACCCCCAGGACAAGCCAACCCGCAACCAACCACAAACCAACCCTAAACTAACCCTAAACGAACCCTAAATACCCCCTAAACCAAACCCTAAACCGTAGACCTCTAAACCTAAACCAACCCTAAATCAACATAAACCAACCGTAAACTAACCCTAAATACACCCTAAACCAAACCCTAAACCAAACCCTAAACCGTAAACCTAAACCAACCCTAAACCAACCCTAAACTAACCCTAAATACACCATAAATATACCCTAAACCAAATCTAAACCAACTGTACCATATATATATATATGCTCCTAGCAAAAATATGCAGTACAGATGCGATACCTTGGCTTTGTGCACGGAACTACCTTTATGTAAGGAACATATCATTTGCGGATGTACTTCCTTAACTACACTTGTGCTGAACAGTTGTGACTTTTGAGCCCGAGCTGCCAAAGCGTACCTCCTTTGCTACGCTTGTACTGAAAAGTGGCGACTTCTGAGCCGGAGCCGCCAAAGTGTATTTCCTTCACTACGCTTTTGCGGAAAAGCTGCGACTCTCGGTACTGAAAAGTTGGCACTGTCGGAGCTGCTAAATGAAGTGTGAAAACGCACAGCACCCTGTGAAACGATACGGGTACAAAAGCAGGCCCGCCACCCGATGTCCTTTTCCTATACCAGAAGTTTTTGCAAGTTGCCTTTGTATATGTATATATATATATGTATATTTATTTCTCCAACTGTCAAGAGAAGCACTTCTCCCCATGGAAATCCACTGCGGGTATTTGGGGCAGGCGCCGTGCTGAGGGAGCGGTAAACTGTTCCACGCGCGCTCCGGTGGTTGCAGCCCGGGGTTTATTGTTGACCAAGTCTCCCATGACAAGTGGGTTTGCCTCAAAATAGGGCCCCCCTCAAATGGTGGTATCCCTCTGATTTCCCCAAACCCCAAAACGGGTAGCCTCACAAAGACAGAGACCAAATATCAACCTCGCTAACTGGGAAACCGGTTTTTGGCCGAGTGGAGGTTTGCGACTGAAAGCCCATATGCCTCGGGCCCGAGAGGTCTCCAGTCGGCTGGCTCACCGTTCGGCCAGTCGTGCGGGCTTCGCAAGTCGAATCGAACGCACCTAGGCGAGTCGCAGAGAGTCGAAAGGCACAGATTCGATTCGTGCAGTGGCGTCTCAAGTGGTGTGGGTGCAGGCTTCCCTTTTTATTTCAAGATCCCTTGCCAACCTTCCACATTGGGTTGAATGGACATTTATGATCAAACAGAGGTGGCTGAGAGGTTCCCTGGTTCCCAAGTCAGAGCCCACCACACCAACTGCGCAAGCTTTCACCGGCGTTGAGAACTGCGTGGAACCTGCAACCACTACAAATGGTGTTTTTCCCAAACAACCATTTCCTATGCATAGACCTTCTTGATGGAAAGCGGCAGTTTGGGAATCGTGAATAGTTGTCTTACTTTCCAGGTGTGGTGATTTGTGCACACACATTTTCCGTGTGTGGGCTCGAACGTCGGGGATGTGTACAGCCTGCTTTTGGCTTTTGGTATGTAAAAAGGGTTTGCGCAAACACTAAGATCCAGACCGGTTGGGCGTCAGGTTATGCATGACGCAGTGATCCTGTTTACCACGGTTTGGCAGGTAAACAGGGCAAACCAGATTTACGCAGAGATCTCTTGTTTGAACCCGGTTCCCCGTGAATCAGTCAGTCTGTCCAAGAAATCCGGAGCACGCATGCCCCCACCTTTAGGGGGTCCAGGGTATAAAAGAAAAGGGTTTGGATCCGCAACATAGTGGATTTATCTTTGAGGAACCCCAAACTGGCTTAAGCTATTGTGTTGATTTTCTCTTCGCCAGCCTTCCCTGTACAAACCAAAAGGGGTTTACCATTTTGAAGCACTCCAAGACACCTTCAAGAGGGTTCCAACACTTTCGGGCCCAGCATGCCGTCAAAGAGTTCGCAATTGCTCTGCTTGTTCAGCAGGTTAGGGCTGACCAGATATTTACGCCTCAGATATGCCACCTTTGCTGATTCAACCGCTGATTGGTGCTTATCGGTTGCCATTCGGCTCTGTGTTCAAATTGGACTTGGGCCCCTGCAGCATGTTTTTCGTCCTGTTGGCCTCCCTTTAAAACCACCCAAGAGTGGGAATCCACCCCGCACAACTCTACATTTCGATCTTGCACCTCCATGGTTGGTGGACATGCCCCCCCCATTTCGATTCTTAAATTTCACACCCTGGGGGAGTTTGGTCCCACCAAAAATTTCCTCCGCCTCTCCTTCGGTGGTGATCGGCGCCTTTCGGAGCCCGGAAGTCTGGTTAGGGACATGGGTGGTGGATCGAAAGGTCGGGGCGAACCACGAGAAACAGGTGATACTGTGGATCTTTTTTTTTGGCGCTTTGCTCGAGGGCGCTCACCTACGGTGAGCGGAAAAGAAATAAAAAAGGCCTAGCCGGGTGAGCCCCGGGTTTGGCTACCACGAGGTCCAGGGGGGACCTCAAGCTACGGGTAACCCCATCGGGTCGGATGAAGTACCGGCGCAGGACCGAGGCAGCCTCCAATCCAGAGGTGAGTGCCGGTCTCTGCAAGAGGCCGGGTCTTGGTGTGGAGTGCCCAATTTTATGTAGGGACCATGAGGCGGTGCCAGTGCCACAAGGCCACATATTGAAGTTAAGGCGTTTCTGAGTCTGGCTTAAGAAACGTGTCCAATTGTAACTTTGCGTGGCAAGGCTACGGTCATCACAAGAGTCGGCCTCAATGGAGAGGTCACGGAGCTCCCACCTTCCCGGGTCCCTGGAGGTGGCCGGGGCAGGTATGAGATTAACCGGCATGCGGGATCCGGAGAAGAGAATGAAGTCGACATAGAGTTCGAGGAAACTGATGTCTTCGCCAGCACAGCGTGGTGGGTCAGGCCACGCGAGGCTGTTCCTCCAAGCGAGGACCCTCCAAAGAAAAACTGCACCAACATTGGAGGATAGGATTTTCCCTGGGCAGGTCAATAGGGAGATGAATGTACGGGTGCGCAGCAACCAGGTCGGAGAGGGAGGGAAGGTTGTTCACCTCAAATTCTCTCTTGGATTTGGTAGCTGGCTTGCTATCTTTGACAGCAACAAGGGCAATTTTGCCCAGGTAGGCAATGAAATCGTTGTACACTTGCCTGGTAGCTGCATGCTTGGTGGCCGCACGTTGGTGTGCAAGGAACAAGGGCCGATGCTGATGTTGAACGCAGTGCTTGGCAGCCTGATCAGCCAGGTCATTCCCTTTGGATAACCATCTTTCCCGGCGGCACAGTAAGGAGTTGTTGTCTTGGTGGGCTGCAACTTTGGTAATGGTGATGCAGCCAATTGGCCGAGCAGAAATTTGGGCATCGATTTGGGACAGGATAGGGTCAATGCGCAGCTTGGCCTTTTTCCCTTCACCAAGGCAGTCCAACAGGCCTTGGACTACGGAGACAACTGCGCTACAATCGCAGTAAAGGTGTGCAGACCAAGTATTTTGGAGTGCCAACAAAATAGCAAACAGCTCGGCGCGAAAATTATTCTGCTCCAAACCGGGTACCAGATCACAGGACACAACCCTACCCGATGGCCAGTCTGGCTCGAGCTGAACCACAGCACCAGCTGCGAGGGTGTATGAATGGTCCTCCTGAAAGAAAGCCGACCCATCAACAAACAGGTGGGTGGAGCAAGAGTTGGGTGCAGGGGTTTCACAATAGGGCAAAGTTCTACATAAAGGTGCGCGCAGGGTATGGGCATCAGGGTCTGCCGGGCACAGTGCAAAGGTTTAGCAGGCAAGGGGCCACTTCTTCACTGCCCGAATGGTGCTGGTGTGGTTGGCGCGGATGTGATCTACCGCAGGGCAACGCATTATGCGGTGGAACTTGCTGTCAGGCTCACCGCACAATGGGCAGGAAATGTCGGTAGGTTTATACTTGGCCTGAAACTCGTGGGTGAAGAATTTGCCGTTCATGATGGTGCCAATGAGGCTTTGCTCTCTGGGGCTCACACGCTTCATAGCCGCTACCGCGGCATAAGGATCAAAAGCACAAAGCTGGAAGTCCTTACGCGTGCAGCATTTTCGAGTGGCATATTGGATCCAAGCCGGATAAAGCTGCTGCCTGAGAGTTTTGATGGTGCAGTCCAGCCATTCGATGGTGAGGTTGGAGTCAGGGTGGACCAGGATCCTAGGGTCCTCGCAAACCTCCACCCGAAGCGTTTCAGGGCAGTCGCAAGGCTCCAAACCGGTCCTTTAATCTTCCCACTGGTGTTGGAAAGGAGCGTGGTCGGTTCGCTCAGGGAAGGCGCGGGTGTACTGCCGAAAGGACCTAAGGCGAATGATCACATCTTTCCACTGGGTCAAGCCCAATGTTTTGGGTGTTGAGGGCAAGCCAGGAGTTGGTGCCCGGCCCCTTTTTTCCGAGAACTCCGCAGTGGCGGTTCGGATAGAGCTAGCGGCCTTGATCCTTTTCTTAAAGGTGGCCTTATGAACTCTTTTTGAATATGACATGTGAACTCCAATGTCTTTGGCATGAAGTTTGATGGGTACCTCACCCTCGTCGATGTAAGTGCCCTTGAGTTCACGCCGGAGTTTGGCGGAAGTCGCCCAAAGCCAGCTTTTGGGTGGGGAGATTTGCATGCGGAGGGAGTGAACAAGTTTGACAACATGGTCAAGGCCGGCACGGAGCTCTCCTGAAGAGTCTGAGATCAAGGCCCAGTTGTCGGCATAGCACGCAACATCACAGGCAGGTGAATTGGCTTGGAGGACGCAACCAACCCAATGGGCGATGGCGAGCATACAGGTAACGGCAAAAGCACAACCTTCAACCACGCCAGTGGTGGAGCCGGAACCCCCATCTTTTTGAGCAGTCTGAGGAGAGGACCTCTGGGTATCGTGTTATAACATTTGACTAAATCAAGGACTGCACCGCATATGGGTTGCTCGAGGAGGAGGGCTTGCTCAACCTGCTCGGCGGTCCACATTGCAGTCAAGTCAGCACCCACTCCTTTAGCGGGCCCCGCTATGGGGGTGGGGATGACCTTGATGAGCTGGGCTGTGACCTGTTCACTTCTGATTTTGGCCCAAAGGCGATAGACCCGACTAAGGACAGTAATGGGCCCAATATCAAGGGGTGATTGCGGCGCGTCACCCTTGTCTAGGCACATGGTCCTGGCGAGAGTCCAGATGCGTGGCAAAGGCACTGTACAGCCGCGTGAGCATATAGAGGTTGTGGTCCGGCTGACGTCGGATGTCGAGGGTGGAAAAACCACAGACCCCTCTACCACTGGCAATGGCCGTGTGGTGGATGGCACGCCGGACATCCGCGACACAGATGTCGGGTACATCAAATTGGGGGCAATCCGGTATTTTTTCATTTAGCGTCATTCCACTGAGGGTGTTCAAAATTGGCTGGGTCTCTCTGAAAAAAGGGGGCCCAAGCATCACGAGTCTTGGCATGCATGGCACTGGTGTCAATGGTGACACAGTGTTGTGTGATGGTGCGGACACGATTCCGCAGGCGAAGTGGCTTGTCAAGTACCACATATGATGCATGGGATTGGAGGACAGTGGCATCCTGACCTTGAAAAATAACAGGCAAGTTTTCCGTAAAATCGTGGCCTGCAGGCAGAGGGATGATGCACCTGCCACGCTTAGGCCACGCAACTTTTTTACATTGGAAGTTTTGGTGTAGTGCACCTCGGAGAGGGGAGCAGCAGGGGCATCTCGGACCTCGCGGAAGGCTCGCTTAGCACCTTTTGCGACATCGGCAGCGATCTCCATCCGCTTGGTCGAAGCACGCTGGATGAATTTAATTTGTTCGGCACGGGTGTGGGCTTCATAGAAGCCATTGCATATATTTTTTACTGCACCGCTGGCATGCGGGAGTTGCGGGTAGGGTAAGCCTAAGTGGGTGGCAACCCAAAAAGGGAACCCCTTATGGAAACCGGTGGCCGAAGTAATGGCCGCCCAGAGGTCGGCAATAGCATGGGAGGCACTTTCACTCGGTCGTTTCTCCCAAGCCTCAATTTGTCGGACGCAGGACTGGAGCCTGCGCAGTTGCCTAGTGTGCCGGCGGGACTCAACATCTGGCTGGTCCAGGAGTGGCTCAAAGTCACCATCCCTTGCAAGCCTAGCCAAAGGGGTTGTGGGAGGCTTAGGTTTCACAGGGAACATGTCAGCACGGCCAAGGTGGTGGGGTTTGACAAAAATGCGATGGCCTTCAGCATCAACGACACTCTCAGAGAGGGTTTGTTCCGCCACACGCGTCCAAATTTTGGCCGCTTTTTGGGTGTCGGCACAGGCAAGTGCATTTTCAAACTGTTCTGCAAAGCAAGACCATTTGGCGTCTGCGCACTTGTCAGCAAGTTGCTGGTCAATCAAGTATCGGTCGAAACTCGGAGGCAAGGTCCAAACTGGCACTGTGCTGAGAATGTTGCGTACACGAAAAATGGCCGAAACCAGCGGGTGGGCATCAAATTGAAAATTAGGCCGGGTTCGGCATTCAACAAGATGCGGCGCAAGGGCCGCGTTTGCCAGGATGTAGGAATACCGGGTGGCATCCTTGCATGTCGGTTCTAAGGAGTGTCCGTGCAACTGACCAGAGAGGGCGGCGCAATCCTTCCATCCCAAGGTTGCAAGGGCGTTCCATGTGGGGATGTCGTGAAGGTCACAATTGAAATCACCAATAATAGCAACCGGACCGTTGTGGTTGATGGCCCTAAGGGCAGCAACATCAAATAAACGATTGGTGATGGCAAGGCCGTCAAAATGTGAGTGTCTGTTGAGAGTGGCTCCATAAATGCTAATGATCTTAATATGGTGATGCTGATCAAGGGCCACAAAGGCTTCGGCATACCGGTGAGAGTTCGCAATATCAGAGGGCAAGGGCTGCAATGCTCTCCGAATGGGGAAAGTGGTTACTATGGCACTCCCTCCAGCCATACCCCTCATTTTGGCACTGCTACGAGGAAAAGGTTGAACAGGAGGGGACCAAACAACATTGAAATCCTTAGCACGGAACCTAGAGGCAATGATGGATTGGGCTTCTGCCGTGGCGGCAGTTTCCGAAAAACCGTAGATCCCACGCCCCCAAAGGCAAACATCAGGCTCTTTGCCCAGCAAGGTGGTGGGGTTGGCCGTGCCAATGACAAGCCTATCTTGCTGTGAATCGGTAGGAAAGGGTCCAGGGTTGAGGGCCTCACCAAAAGGCACAAATTCAAAGAAGGGGTCCGGTCGAAGAAAAAGGGCAACACCGCACCAAGGTGAGAAGTCCGTAAGGGGGAATAACCCGGGAAAACCCCAGCACAGAAAACCAGGTACGAGCACTAGCAGGCTCATTTTTCTTCGGACCGAAAGTTCCGGGTAGCTCCAGGCTGTTCTGGTCGGCCGGGTTCGGATAAAGGCGTGTGGTCTGCCCTTAGTGGCACGGCGTGGTAGCCACAGTGATGGATTGCAACGGGCAGCAAGGGTGTCACTCACAGCGTGGGCAAGGTTTCTGACACAGCTGGCTGCACAAATCATTATCGAGATGCAAGAACGAATTAAGGCTGGGAGATGGTAGCAGGAGGCAGGTCCACCATCCCAGCACATGCTG